CATTTTTTTCAAAGCAAAATGCTGAAGATTGAGCACATGGGGAGGGAGTTGTCGCTGTTACGACACCGACCATGAACTGTTTTGATCTACAAAGAATCGGCTATAGTTTAAAAAAAAATCATATTTGATTGTGTTTCTATTTTAAATAAATAAAAATAAATTTGAAATAAATAGACTAATTTGAATTCATGAATTTATCTGCCAAGGATCGATTAAATTAAATTGAATATGTACTACAATATTAGCTACAGACATATTTGATTAGTAACACAGGAGTCTATATGGTGTATATATTTATAATTCATTCTAATAAAATGCATTTCAAATTATATGCACTGCATATGTATTTCATTAGTATCGGCTACAGTTCCTATAATGCATATGACATAATAAACTCACTATATGAATAACTCCAAAGTCGTATTAAATTCGCCCTGTCGCTTCTTGTTGCATTTTTTCGCTTCAGCTTTTGCCACTCCCAGTCTATCTGCGCAGCTGAAATGTTTGTTTTGTTTTTATTTTCGAGTGCCACGCCCAGTTGCGAATGAGAGTCCATTAATTGAGAGGAGCTGCCTGTAAATTCTGTATGAGCATCTGTCTCTGCAATGTATATCGCAAAGGCTGCGTGCAGGCTTCAATTATTTAAATGAATTGTGTGCATATGTTGCGGATGCTCAAATAATTGTCATAGTTTATTAATAATACCATTATTAATAATTCCAAATATATATATACACACACAGAGAGGGAAAGAGAGTGTTTTGAGTGTAGATAAGTGGAATGAAACGGAATGGAATTCAAGTGGAATTCTTCTAACATTCTGCAGTTGCCAAATGTTAAATGTCAAAATCTTGTTATACCTGAGAGGTAAGAGAAGGCACCTGTAACACATACATCTGCACTGTGTGATCTGCTGGGCAGCTCTATATATCTATATTTGTTGATCTATATACCTATAGATGTGTACATATGGATATTTGCTTGATTTATTGAAATAGACAAATAAACAGTTAATTGAAGAATGACATTTTTGTATGCGCGCAACTACATATTTCAAGACAATCAAAAACAATTTAGCGTTCAGCTGCTGCCAGATGCCGCCATAAAAGTCGCCGCAGCAACCCGCAGCAGCAGCCAGAGTAACAAAACCAAAAGTGCAGCCCACGTTGTTTGGCATTTGAAAACGTCATTAGATTCACTCAGTACATTTGGAGAGTGTAGCGAATAAAGGCAACAACAATGCCATAGATGGAGAGAAGCTGCAGAGAAGTTCTCTGCCTCTGCTGTATTGTCCCAGTTAATGGCATGAATATTATTGAGTGTGGGGGCTCTGCAGAAGCTATGGAAAAAGTTGTGCTCGACACTAACATAAATATATGAAGACATATGGTACACTCTTAGTTAATATGAATATATTCATGTGTGTGTGTTTGTGTATGTGTCGACTCTGAAATTGTGGAGGCTTTTGGAGCATGAAATCGTTGTACTCCCTTTAAATCATCATCAACAACGCCAGCATAAAGAAATTTTCTTCAGCCATGTTGTCGACTGTTGACTTTCACGTAGGCTTCTGCTGTTGTAGCTCTTGTTGCTGGCATGGCAAAAGAAAATTCAGAAAATTAGTGCACTCGCATAGCCCACATCCTCATCATCATCATGCAGCCAATTGCTAGAACTATGCTGAGAATGTGTCCCAAGTTTTGCTCTCAAGCTAAGGCGGGTGCAGCTGCAATTGAAATTAAGAGTTCATTGCATTAAAATTAGTTTTGCATTAAAATTAGTTTTTTGAATACCCTGTATGTAGTGCCAACAAGAGTTGAATGAACTTACGTGAATATTTGTCCCTGTCTAATGGAGACATTGGGTAATAAATCATAATGTGCAATGAACTTTTATTTATAAATGCATTTTTAAAGTGCAGTTAAAAGCGAAACTTGTTTATGAATCACAAAAGTTGTGTAAGCCTTAACAGAGAGCTGCGGTAAGCAAAACAGCTAAGCTGGGCGCCACCTGAGCATAAAAAGGCATGCAAATTGAAGCCCCAAGCAACGGCTTAATATATATGTATACCAGCATTTCAAAAACAATTTGAATTTTGTAGAGTTTGTGCTGCATTTTGAGGCTGAACGCTGTACAACTTCAACTAAATTGCATAGCCAGGTTTCTGATCGCTTGAGAACAAGAATTATACAGTACAGTTGATGTCAGTAAGTATAGCGGAACTCCTTCAACTGTTTTTCCATGAGTTTTTTCTTTTTGCTAACTGCCTAGCCCAACATCATCAGCCTGCGAAAAGTTGCAAAATCATTCAGGTTACTAAACTAAAATTGAAAATCGCCTTGAAAAAAATCAACAAAACAAAAAAACAAAGCATGCAAAGCATCAAGCCCCAGACATGACTTGAATAACTAAACAGAAAGAAGCCAGCCAACTCATCAGCCAATGATATTCAGGTAAAACGGGAAGCTTAAACAACAAAATCAGCATGAGAACAATTCGATCCACAGTAGCCGCAATAAGTATTTGGTCGTTTGTACAGCGGACACAGGAAGTCCATAAAACATTATCATGCTGTAATTATATATATGTACAATACCTGTTTGGGTATTCTGCTGAGCTGGAGTTGGAGTTGAGGTGGGCTGAGCTGCAGTTGCAGTTAGTTATGCTTAGGTTGAGCCACTTCCTAGAGACGTTGCCAATTTGGCAACTGTATTTTTGTTGGCAGTTCGTGTTTGTTTTATAAAATATATATTTAAGCAAATAAAGAGAAAATGCATATGGCTGTGGTATCTGCTAGTCGGCCCTCTCTGTTGATGTTTTCTTTTTTTGTGGGGTGTTAAGCAGTGATGCATGTAACCACGGTCCATGCTGAAGGGTCGAACTCAAGCATGTTTTCTTGCCGGGCAGAGACGACTTTCACAGACCGGGTAGCTCCGCTGCCTTCAATCGAACCGCTTTTGTGAAGGCAATAAAAAAAAACTTGTTTTTGGTGCTTTGACTGATTGCTGAGTTAAGGTATTGAAGAGTGTCCCAGGTTCGTAGTTCAACGATTTTAAACCATGCAGCCATTAAATGCTTAATTAAGGATATGTGTAGATACCAAACAGATTAAAGTGATGTATATACCCATTAGTGTGGGACGTGTCGAGTGTATATCGCAATGCTGATCAATCGGGTTTCATTGAGAAGTCAATTTGGAATATTTCACCTTTTCAGTTTTCGTTTAGATTTTTTGCTCTGTGGTGTGTATGGCGTGTGGTTCTCGACGTTGTTTTGTTTTTCTTCAATTTGCTATTGAACTCTTTGACTTTTAATTGGATCAAGTTCATCAGCAATTATTTAAACGAGGCAAATGTATTCAAAGCGAGCGGGTACGGCGGGTCGGGCGAGCACATTCCGTAGTCGTCGCACTTGTTGCTCAACTCTCTCAGACTCGTGTACCGGGCTGTAAACCCGTGGCTATGGCTATCTGTGACAGCTGAGCGACCACACGGCAAACAAACCAAAAATAACAACTCCAATCGCCTTGAAATGAGACAGCAATCAACAGGCATGTTCGAGCAAGACAACTTAATGAACATGTTGTAATTACACGACCAAAACTAAAGGGAGGATGTGTTCAGACACCGACAAATTCAAGAACAACTCAACATACAAAAAAAAAAAAACCAAAAGATTTCGATTGCAAGTCATGGCAAACCAGCTGATATATACAAGTATATGTGCACTTACTGCAGATAATATAGTTAGTATCTCAAATCCAGATTGTTTGTTTAATGTTAATTGAACTTGTTCTTAAATTGCATTTGCATTTGCTACGATTGCCTTATCTAATCAGGCGCAGGCGACTGTAATGATATGAAAATTGTCCCAGTAACTCGGTATATTCAAAACATGTGTTACTCATATATAGTACATATATATTATATTTACATATATGTGTATGTTTGTATTCCCTAGCATTTCACTTCCCACGAACACAGAATCACTATGGAATCTCAAGTGGAGCAACAATAAATTCAGTCATTAATATATTGAAATATGAGTTCTGTGGAATTTTACATATATGTATGCGTGTGAAAGGCACTCGAAGCGATTACTCAGTGCAATTTATGGGAATTAGGATAAGGAGCAACGGATATTGATTAGAAACTAGAGAAATTTATGAAGAACTAAATTTAAATGCAGGGAAAGAAATTCAATTCCAGTTTTATTGGAATTCCGTAAAGAAACTCAGACAAATATTTATTTAAATGAAAAATAAAATGAGAAGTGGAGAAACAGTTTGCATAGATATATAATATTTATTAAATATTTATTTAAATAAAAACCAAAATGAAAAACCAACTGAAAGGGATCAAATATTCAACATGAAATAATGATGATGAAGAGCAAAAGTTAAAAAGGTTTTCCCATAAGCAAACATTTATTAAAAGCGGTCAAATTGTATAAGAACCCCCCGTCGGGGCATAATAGACTGTGCGAACCCCCCTATAGAATCTGTAGATGGAATAGCAGATAGCTCCATAAAAACAGAAAGTCATCTTTTACACGTGCCGGTGAATAATACTATGAACAATTTTTATTAGTCCAAAGGTCAACTGAGGGTGCGATGGCATAGTATATAGTATTCAAGTTTACTTGTATGCTTAAAGTTTATTGGCTGCTCTTTTTAGTTCATTAAAAAATTACATTACATTCTGCAATTAATTAAAGGCGCTTGACGCTATTTTTAAATTCTATTATTTTCTCTTATGTTCTGTTTTTTGACGGCCTCTTAAAGAGACTTCATGAGACTTTCATGAATATGAAAGTTGTTTAAAGTCTCAATGAAATAAACATTTATGTTTATTATAATAATTTCAGCTCAATCAATAAGTATGGGACAAACTTTCAGAATAGTTTGCTTGTCTACAATAATAATAAATATAAAATATTTACTTTAAAAAAGCTTTCATTATCTCTATAAGTATTATCAATAGATTAGCGAGCGTGTTTAAAAATTCTGTGTTTGGTGATTTCTGTAGATATGTATGTATGTATGAATATATGGCGAATATAAGTATGTATTTATAAATACACAGATTTTTGAATGTCTGATATACAAGCATACATTGAGATATTGTCAAGGCCATTTGACTGTCTACAGTTTATACGTACCAGATTTATTTATATAGAGTTTTGCCGTCATTGATTTGCGTTTGGTCATGGGCCGCAGATTTTATTTGCTCATATGAATAGTATACTGATATACATATATGTATAACATATACATATATATATGTGTGTGTATGTTCCTTTGCAGCTGTGAATTTTGCGATCAGCAGATGAACGTAGACTCTTAATAGTTGAGAACATGTTAGTATTGTTATTAATATACAAAAGAGACAAACAAAAATAGAAAATGAAACATTATGGTTTCAGATTAGTTTAGCTGCGCTGCGCGTGCACACCTTAACTTATTCACTGATTATAATAATTAACAACAAATGACTAATTAACACATTTTGTCTTTTTTTTATTTTGCAGTTAATTCGAAACTATGCTAATTTTACAAACCTGCTCGAAGCATTCGGCAAGGGAATGACTTAAAAACTATATATTCCATTCATATTGTTCATACTCGAAAAGAAAGTATATTAATTTACGGTACAACACCCCATTGAGCGACAACAGGCCACAATGGGGCTAATTATACAAGAGATGAAATCACATCCGAGGCACTAAAGGAACTGACTCAATCAAAGTCTGAAGGCTGAAACACTCTTGCTGTGAACACTGAACGTTGAGACTCTCAAGACTTCCTTCCCACTTTCAGCACTTAAAATCTATCCAAAATGAACTCCGTCATCTCAGCATTTAAGACCAAGAAGAGCAACGCGGCCAGCCCCACGGCCGTGGCACCCGCCTCCAATGTTGCCACAGCGGACGGTAAGGTTGGCCTGACTATAGCCAGCGCCGGCGGCGGGAACAGAAAGAAGCCAGTGGTCCAGGACAATGGCTATCAGTATCTCCGGCAAATCCGTGAAATTGAGACGGCCAACAAGCTGCTCTCGCCCGTGGTCGCCGTTGCCGCCGATGATCTGAACAGCGGCGATAAGCTGCACTTCCGTCCAGCCACTGATGCAGCTATCGTGGGCGCCGACGTCGTCGACCACTGTCCACCCGCCATGGTGCGGCTGTCGTGTGTGGATGCAAAGTCTGATTACAACATGAACGGCAAGGGGAATAGCACACCGAGTAATCACAGCATGAAGCTGGCCGAGAATGGCAACATGGACATTTACGCCTTGGGCTGCGATCAACACAGTCCACCGCTGCCGGATGACGATGACAATTCCGAGCATTCGACAGCCGCTTGCAACAGCACCAGCAGCTCCAGCGACCACAGCAACAGCACCGTGGTGCAGAGTCCAACAGTCGTAGTCCAGCCCAATCCGCAGACCAGCAGTCCCAATCTGGGCAGAGATTGCAGCTTGAGCAGCTTGTCGGTTAATGGCGAGCCGCACTCAGCATCGAGCACCACACTCTCCTCCTTGAATTTGGAGGAGCCCCTTGTTGAGTGCAGCTCGGAGAGTGAGAATGGATGCCAGCCGCCGCTCGGCTCGCCAGTCCTAACAAAAGCTCATGACGATTATGTGCCCGCGTTTCTGAAAGCCCCGCCCATTACCTTGCCGCTGAGCGTAGCCGCCTGCAGCCTCTCCACCGGCTCAACGCCAACCATCAGCTCGGCAGCGAGCACACCCAAGCACGTGCGCTACGCCAAGCCACGTCTGAGCCTCAGCCGGGGATTCAATCAGTCTATGCCCTCCGTGCATGGTCGCCCCAATCTGAGCTTGGCCCCAACTGGCGCTGGACTCAATGGCACCCAAACGGGCGGCTTACCACCGAAGCGGATTTCAACGCATCAAAGAAACTTGAGTTTGGATTTTAGGTGAGTGCCAAATAAAATATTGAAGAGTAATTGAATAATATCATTATCGATAATGATAATGCTTGATTTTAAGGTACTATGATTATGAAGTCTTGTATTGTTGCACTCAATACTTGTTGCTTAACATTTACTGATTATTATCAGGTCTGTGAGTCAAATTGTCAAACGGCCTTAAGGAAAGGCCCCTCAAAAAGCAAAAGCAAAAACAATGCGGACATTCTTTCTGCAAATAAACGTAAAATGTTATCAAACATTTGCCTGAATCACATAATTCTACTATATAATCGATCAATGAGAATGCGTTTACTTTTTTGAAAAATATTCGTATTATTATTTATATACTTTTTTGTTTATTTATATTGGTTCGACCCTCATATTATAAGGGAAAAGATATCTAATCTTTAATACTACAATCAGTTATTTTTATATTGCTTTTGCTTTGGTTGTCACTTGATAAAAATAGTTTGCTGATGACACACGAGCATTTGTTGTTATTATTATTATCTTCTATTAAATGAATTATCAGAAGCAAGTTCATAAACAAATAAAAATTAAAAAGTGCAAAAATGTGAAGCATTAACATGCCACTTTGAGTATTAACATGCACTGTTGTTAACATGGCTATTAGATTAACAGACAGAAAGTCGCGATAACAGTTGCAGTTTAGCAGAGCTCTGCGCCACGGAATCTACACTCATACATATAATGAGCACTTGTTGCTCTCACTCTTCTCCGCCAGTGCGGGGCATTTCTATGGGCTCGCGTGAATTTATTTTTTTAATATA